CGACAACATGTCACATGTGTTATCTGCCGGTGAAAAAAGAAGGTTCATATGACTTCTCTCTTTTTCATAGAGAACATCATGCAAATGATTTTTTCCCCCAATTCAAACAATCACTCAACTCCTGGATTACATATGAGCTGAGTGTCAGTTGGGTTTTTTTGTTCTCTGGTGTATGATGCAGCTGTCAGGGCAGTTTTTAAGGAATGTCAGTTGACTGACCCAGCCTTCACTCATTGTCCACTTCCTGTGACCCACATTGTTTCTAATTTTTCATAAAAGGACCTTCCTGATGTCATTAGTTCTCAAATCGGTATCTATGCTAATAACTATTTACTCCAGTCTTAATATTAGTCTGATCAGCTAAGTCTGATCTCAAAAATGACCTACAATCTGCTGTCAAATGAGGCAATGAGTAGCTTGTCAATTTTAACACTTCAAAAACAAAACTGCTCTCTTTTAATCATTTAAGAGAACTCTTTCATCAGCATGGCTGATGCTAACCTCCAGGGGAGTGACTCATTACATCTTCTCGTACTAATGTTCCCAGCTGACATGAAGTGCAAAGAGTATATTGAATCAATTGCTAAGTCTGCAGCTTGGTTCTATGTCATGCTAGACAATTTTTCATGCCAGAATCTATCTTACATATTAAGCATTTGTCCTTGCTGTGAATATTGCTGCCACATCTGGTCTGGTGATCCTGCTATATATTTCAAGATTCATAATAAAATCGAAAGAATCTGCAATGTTATTGGTCCTGACATGGCATCTCAGCTTTAGTCCCTTTCCCCACCACCACCATAATATAGCTTTTATCTTTTGTATAAATACTTTCATGGTAATTGTTCTGATGAACATTCATCTATGATACCTAGACTTTATGAATTTAGCGTAGTACTAGATTGGCAGTTTGGTTTCATCATTTTACAGTTGAATGGCTAGGTGTAACCGTAAGTTCTATGCTAACAGTTTTTTCTGTTTATACTTCCTGCTTGTGAAACTCTTCTGGCTTCTTGCTTCCCAGTCAACTTTGATGTTCATAAATTTAAATGCAATGTCAATCTTTTCTCTCCTTAATTCTTATTCTTTTATTGTCCTTTCTCCCTAACAGTAGTTTTTCTCATTCTCTATCATTCAATAACCTATTACATCCTAGTGACTTTATTGCCTCACTTGGGGCGAAATGATTTTAAAAAAAGTGCCATATTTGTGTGTACCTTTGCATTATTTTTATAATTACTTAGATGTGTATATTTAACTTATATTTCTACATATGTAACTTGAAGTATGTAAGTTGTGTGGATGTGTGCCTCCAATCTTATTTATTTGTGTTTATTTTAAATACAAAAAAAATTTTTTTTAATCATATTTTTAAAACAATTCCCAGAAATAATATGAACTCCTCCACTATTATGATAATCCAGTGTGTGTGTGTGTGTATATATATATATATATATATATAAAATTAAAAGAAAGAGTCCACATGTGCTTCTTATAGTATGTAAAATACATAGGGTGGTTAATAAAACAAGGCAAACAAAAGGGTACCACTAATCAGTATGAAAAATATCTAAATTAGATATTAAGAATAATTAAAATAGTTCTTAATTTTATTTTTAAAATGTGTATATTTCCAAATATGTGAGTCTCTAGTCTAAAACTGTTTTCTACAAATAAAATTGTTTCTATCTAACGAATACATCTAAAATTAGATATTTAAAAAATAAAGTAAGTTTTAATCTCAGTTTTAAAATGTGTATATTTACAAAACTGCAAGTCATTTTGTTTTAAACCCAAAGTAAAAATTATTCTTTTTTTAGCCACTAGTGTTCAATAGGTATTCTGCCTATAAAATTCTTCTAAACAAGGAAAATTAATTCATTTTGTTTTTACAAATATCTTTATGGTTTTATCTAGCGAATACACTTAAGATTATATATTAAAATGATTATAAAATAGTTTTTAATTTCAGTTTTAAAATGTGTAAAGAACAGGTGCTACTTGCAGATTTGGAAATATACACATAAAAATTAAATTAAAAGCTTTTAATTATTTTTAATATTTAATTTTAGGTGTAGTATTCACTAGATAAAAATATTTATTAAGGGGAAAAAATAACTCATTGATTCTCCTTGTTTAGAAGAAATTTATTTGTAAAACCCCAATAACAGTTGACTGGCATACCAGAAAAAAATTGCCATATTTTTAATAATTTTAAACATGAGGGGTTTCATTTTTTGGTTTTTTAAAAGCCACATCATAAATTTCTGGAGAGCTATACCATTTTATTTTCTCTCTGAAAAACGTGTTGTCAAAAGACACAAATATAGATATTTTATGCAACGATTTCTTTTGTATTTTACCAATTTGTTAATAAATATGGTAGTTATTTATATAGTTGGCAATTTATTCAAAAGTTTAATAAACTTTAATCCAAGTCATGAATTCTATGACTAAATTACTTTTAAAGCCTAAAAACTGACTTTAGGTGAACAATTCCTACTTTATTACTCACCCTGATTCACGGTTTTCGGGTTTTCAATTCCAGTGGTCTTTAATGCATGTCTATAAATTTTTATTACCCTTTAAAACCAAATATTAACCACTTATGCACCAGGTAACAGACTTCCACAATGACAGCCGTTTCAAAAAACTCAAAAGTTGAAAAGTATATGAGGCATTTATTTTATGTGACAAGACAGTAGCTTCAATAATTTGAAAGTTCTTTTACAACACATGTTATCAGTTAATCTTTTTTTTTTTGCTGTTTACTTTATAATTTTTGAAGGAATTTGCTTTCACAAGTCAGAGAAAAAATAAAGATCTTCCTGGTTGTAGCTTAAGGTTTCTTCTAAATTAGAAAATTGAATGTACAATTTCAAGAATATTGATAAAGATTGGTCACATTGATTTTGCAAAACAAAGTCACGTGTAAAATTTAGTCTCAAAAAAATAAATAAATAAAAAAATTAAAACACATTTTTCGCATTTTTGGCTGTTCAAAACAAAATACCGTTTTAACTCGCTGCAAAAATATAATTCAATGAATAAAAGCACATACAAATTACATATTTAGGAAGATTATTTTATTTTCTTTCCCGTCATATGAATATTTTTAAGATTGAACCAGAAATACACAAGAGTTTGCAAGTTGCAAATTTATCAATGTGAAACGAAATCAGATATTGACTGGAAATGCTATCATTACACAAGAAAATGAATGGCTTTCTTAGAAAGCAAAAATACTAAATTAAATTAAAAAAAAAAAAAAAAAAAAAACGAATCAAAAACTGCAGTATCAAGGGGGAAAAAAAACGAAAGCCAATACCGAAACAGAAATTATCAAACCGACTAACTCTAATATATATAATAAAAAATATAGTTTTAAAGGCATGCTATATTTATGGGTAAAAGTGCTCAATATCAGAGAGAGCATATGTAAATATAAAAATTAACAGGTCAACATCATGCTTGAACACAATCTTCAAGTCATGTGTTGTTTTTGCTTGACTATGTATGCTGACCAGTGGTGCATTATAGGTAGTAAGGTCTATTGTATTTTCTTGATGTTTATTGGGTGGGCAGTAACGATTGTTTCAAATTATTCTAGAGGCAATCAAGTAGAAATAATTGTGGATCCAAATGCGGTTATTTGTAATTATTTTATAATGTTAACTTTTTATTCATTTATTATCGATTACTTATTTGTTGAAGATTATTATTATATTTACTTGTGCTATGTATTCATTCATAGTTTGTTAATTTGTTTATGAGTTACTTAATTTGTTTTTGGGAGGAGGAGGAGGGGAGTTATCTTATTTGTTTAATTTAAAGTATATCAACCCCCACCCCAAATAAATAAAATAAAACAAGGCAGTAATATTGTTTTTATTTTTACATATGACAAAGTGGAAAAAGTTTTTGTGTGATGCATTTCGTCCTTTAGGACATCAACAGACTAAGTTTCATTATAATGATGCCACTATATATATGCACACAAATAAGACACACTGGGAATTTTAACTTTTTCTTTTTTTTGCATGTGTTTTGGATATATAATCCAACAGATTTCATTTAGATTCTTTTACTTTTTGTTTCCATCACTTTTATTAAATATCCCACATTGTGATAACCAAAGAGATGAGCTAGTGATTAAAGCACTTTCAATAAGATAAAACTTATTAATTAAACTTATATAGGCTAATTAAAAGAAAATCAATTCACTAAGACAAAAATGTTTAGAAAATGCTTTAATCTAAATGAAATTGGTTAGATCATATACCCAGAACACATTAAAGCATCTCTCATTTGTGTGCATGTGTAGTTGCATCAATGTAAACCAACTTTGTTCGCTGAAGTCCTAAAGGAAACTTTTTCCACTGTTATATATCTTTCCCCCCAAATTATTATATATATATATATATATATATATATATATATATATATATACACACACACTGATTTCATTAAGAAAATCATTATTAATCTGAAGAGATTTCTAAGGATGAAGTGCATGACTTAAAGTTTTGTCATTCATATATATATATATATATATATACACACACAAACAAACAAACCAGTTACTGTAAGTCTAGTGTTACAAAGATCAATGTTCATAATAAAAATCTTCCAGTTTAATTTTTTTTTAAATGCATCATAAAATGTTTTTTCTACATTATAGTGATACTTGTAATAATTTTTTTTTTCCTTTTCCCAGTTTTACTGGCTAATTCTCTAAACTTCAAGTTAACTTTTCATCCAATTATTGTCTTTAAACTAACTCATCAGGTATTAAAATTTTAAATTCTATCTTCAATATTCTTTGACTTGAATCCATGTTATTTGTGACAATCAGGGAAAGTGGGTGCATAATTATTCAATTGCTTAAAAGTTCTTGGACATGTAATAAATCCAGGATTTTAATATTAGCTGCAATGGAAATAAAAAAAAAAATCTAACTTTCCACATTTGAAGAGAATATATAGATAGTGAATATGTTATTAAAACGAGGAGACTTTATATCTACCTACCTTCTGGAAAACACGGCCATTCTGCTGCTGCTCGTCTTCTACTTGAAGAATCTCGCGTGTTCCCAAACATGGTCTTGGCCCATAAAGTCTCACAGCTCGAACAAATAGGTCATCCACCGTGACACATTCATCGCCAAAAAGAGCCGTGCTCAGCTCACCGCCAGAACACTCAACTGATCTATATGGAGAATTGGCATCATTACCAATTGGTTTTGCCTACAAAGAAAGCAGAACATGTTATCAAGAGAATAAGTAGAAAAATGGGGGGAGGAGAGACAATAACATACACCTAATCAATTAAAATACATCCTTAGTCAACTCTTTATAACCATTCATCAGGTATGGGTACATTATTATAACAGCATAAGTTGACAAATCAGAATTTGTCCTGGATGGGCAACCTGAGGTTCAAGTCCTCTAACATCAAATTCCACCCACCCACTCATCATTATATCAATCTGACAGCCAGCATTGAAACGGTTCATTTTTGCACAAGTTCCATACATGATACATGCTTGGTCAATTGGGTCTCTTGAGAAATGACTGACTAGGCAGAATATTTTCCTGCAATAGGTTGCCTTTTCTTTCTGCAGTAGACTGGTTGCCAAACATGTGTATAGGATCCCGTTTGTTCTACTATTCAATCCATAACTGGGGGGGCAGAAGAAACAGATACATAACTTTCGAGGGTATTTGCGCATAAGTGAATGTAACAAACTTGACTGGAATTCAAACACAGCTCTTCGGTTTCTCATTCCGAGCTGATATTCACTACACCACAATGCACATCCTTCTACTGTTCTGTAATATGGTAAATATGCTAGTAATGTGACCACTTCTCTTGTAGCTGGCTGTACAGTTTGGTGTCTCCATTATGTCCTCTGGAAATCCCAGGATATGGTCATCCAATAAAATATGTGCTTTACATCTTTCAGCCATGCCCAATAAAACAAAGTCTACAGTATTTTCAAAAGCAACTAACAACTTTATACGCTAATTTTTTAGTTTTATTGCAATCTTTTTCTTAGATTAAGCTGATATTTATATATAATAATTTGTAATATTGAAGAAAATTTACAACTGATTTAACATCGTTTAGGATTTATCTTGAAAAATTTAAGTATTTAGTAAATCCATTTCATTTTTAGAATCCTGAACAAATTTAAGTAAATGGTATATGGTAAATGACTTGAAAACTAAGTTCCCTCAAAAAAAAAAAAATAAATAAATAAATAAAATTTAGAAAATGAAATTTATTAATGAATAAATGTTGAAAATTTTATTAAAATTAGATAAATTTTGATAGTAATTTTTTTTTTTTTTGCAGTTGCTCAAATGTTTTTAAAGTGTCCACTGAATTGTAAATATCATATGTTCAGACATACAGCTAAGGAAGCATATATAAGCATAAAAATATAAGCTATACATTTCAGCTAATAGATGCAATTACAATTATAGTGCTATTATGGTACAAACTCCATCTGGTAGTGACTAGATGAAAGAAATAGCTGGGACAGCTAATTGTAGTCTATAAATTGGACATATCTAGTGGAAACTTGTATTTACAGAGATGAGTAACATGCAGAAATCAAATGTTCATTTTCACAATGAGATTTCTTGCCATTTTTGTCCGATATTCTTTTTATTACAAATTCTAAGAAACATGCCCATGTTCTATTGCTAAATGTGTGTTAATTTGCAAAAAATAGACATTCTCCTTAAATCTAGTAAACAATTCATCCAAGGAGGTCATCACATAGTTCTACCTCTAATCAAGACAAGAATTTACTTTCATATGCATAAAACCAATTAATAATGCCTGTATGTAACTAACTGAAAGTATACAGTGGTTTTTATCAGTTTTTAGGTTAAAATGCATTTTTCAAATTTTAGAACAAATATTCACTTGTGAAAAGTGACAATTATGTATTTCTCAATTATTCTATTTTGGTTCTTATCCTATCTAGTGGTCACAAGATGGAAGAAATTGCCAGGTCAGCTGACTATTAGAATACAGCATAAAGAGACTTACAAAGACAGAAAACCTCAGGTCAAAGTTTGTTTTTCTTTTTTCAAATTTAAGTATTATTTCTATTTAACAATATATCTTGCTTTAAATATTCTTACATTTTTACCCATGGTTGATATTATGGTAAAATATAAATAGAAGAGGTGTATTACTGAAAATTACAAGTTTAACTCCCATTTGAACAGGTAGTTATTACTATCAGGTTTAAAATACAGCACAAAGTTGTCACCAGAACAAACATAACATATTAAAAATATTGCTAATAAAAAAAAAAAAAAAAGAAAAAAAAGAAAGAAAAAAAAACAACAAAAAAAAAAAATAATAGAACCATGACAACTATTATGACAGATGTGATAAAACTTTTTCTTCATCATTCAATTTTATTTTTAATACTGTTATTTTTCCATACCTTGTCATTATAAATAAAATGGTAAGGTGTTTTATAAGTAGGGACCAGAATTTGAATTTTAGAAGTTATGTCTTACTGATACACATTGCAATGACAGTAGATTTTGTCATAAATAACAATCTACACAGATATCTCTACCCTTCTATAAGACCTGGGGAATCTGTCTGCTGAAATTACACCTTGTAACATTGCATTCTTAATATAGAATTAAGTTGCCATTTCCAAGAGCTCAATTTTCATGCAAGCACAATGTCAAAACTGATTCAGAGTCATTGATTTGATGACTCAATATGAAAAAAATATGCAGATTTGGCTTGAAGATCAAAAATAGAACATTATTATTGTTATAGTTTTATGGCGCAATGATACCAACAAAAATGTCTACCAAATAAAAATAAGAAATCCAACCCATAGGGCGGGGTTAAGTTAATCCCTACAAAAGGGCATAAATCAACTCTTGGATAAAATTTAAATGTCTAGGTGAGGAGGAATCACAAAAGTACCCAACTGACTATAAATTTATCCATCCTATTCATTGAAACAAACACACACAGAACAATATTTTTGGGATCACTTATAATGCCATCCTAGTGTCCACTGCTCATACTAAAAATTGAAACTTATTTTTTGTCTCTAATTCTTAATTTTTTTTTTTTTTCCATGATAAAAAAAAATACACAGGAAAAATAAAAATAAATTAAAGAAAAAAAAAGGGGGATGATAATTTAGATTCTGGTTTGGACAAAAAGATAAAACTTCTGCTTAATCTGACAGACACAAAATAAAGGAAATATATTTTATAAACATCAAACCTCTTGTAAATTTTCAAAAACTAATGTGCTAAAGTAACCATAGAAAATCAGATGAAATGTAGTAAATATATTATATACATTGTGTGTGTGTGTGTGTGTGTGTGTGTATGTGTATATATATATATATATATATACACACACATATGTGTGTGTGTGTGTGTGCACACACACACACTGCTAACAGATTCTAATATTCTTACTGGTTTAAATAAGTTAATCACTCCAGAAATACATCTTTTAAACTTTCTCAAAATATGCTGTAAGCTCATATGTAACAAGAACTACTGACCAATATTAAAGAGTGGAAATAAAAATAGAAAAGTAGAAAAATCATTTAATTGTACTTAAAAGTATAGTGAAAAAGATACTTATCCACTTTTGCAGCAATAAAAAATTTAATTATTAAATACAATGCAGCCAAAACACACTAAGTGTTTGATGCATATGATAATGATTTACTTGATCAAATCCAGTCAAAATAACAATAGTAACAATTGACTAATACTTTCTCTACAATTGATTATTAGATATGCCATATTGTTAATTTTTCTGCATTGAGTAGCATTATTTTTTCTAGTCAAACATCACCAGGGTTTCAGAAATGTTACAAATTTCTTATAAGACAAGACCTATAGACTAATTTTTTTTTATACTCAAAATCCATTTGTTTGTGCATTCAACAAATAATAGATGCAAGAAGAAAACCTTGAGATTGCCTTTTTTGTGGCATTAGGATTCAAATCTGAAAAATGTATTTTTTGTTATTTATAGGCTATATTTATAATTTTATTCCATTAATGTGTTACCAATATAAAATAATTATTGGAATCTAAAACTAAGAATATACCCCACATTTTTCTCTATATCTTTAAAAATCTTGATCTATTTACTATTTTTAATAAACAACAAATAGCAGTTCTGAGTTATGAAAAAAAATAAATATTGCTAAAACTAGACATGTATATGAACAAGAGATGCTGGAAATTTCAAATTTAGAATTTTTTCCTTATTTTATGTGTTTTGAGTATATAACATAGCCAATTCCCTTTAGATCCCCCCTCCCGCATCTTTGTTATTAAATATCCCACGTTATAACAGAAGATCTAAGTATGGTGAAACACAAAAACCTGGACACATTTACTGTGGATGAACTAATGATTAAAGCACTTTCTAAATATTTATGTCAAAATTGTGGTCAGTCTAATTATGGTAAGTGTTTAATGTGTTTTTTAAAATGACTCTTTGGTATTCATATAATCTTATTTTAACTTGAGGGTTTTCCAATATATTCTTTCTGGCAACCCTTACAGGTGATTGAAGTTGTGATAACATTAATGGGTAGAACAGTATTTTTTTTTTTTTTTTTTTTTTTTTTGATTCATTGGGTTTGTCAAGTGGGGCTTTGGAATATTTTATGAGCATCTTGTTTCATATTGAATACCCTATTTTATATTCAACATAAACAAACCTAGTCCAATGAAGAAAAACTTAAAGGATAAAATTCATCATGAAAACTTTTTCATACATCTTTCCTCCAAAATTGTTCTGGATATATAAAAAAATTTATATATATATCGTCATCCTATATATAAGTGCAAGATTAGAAGATACACAACTTACCTTGATTCTTTTAGAAAGCCTAACTTTTTCATAAGGCTTGCATATCATATAATACGGGACAAAGGCAACCACATCATAAACATAAGCAATGGCCTTTAAGAAGCCAATAACTATAGTAATGAAAACCTCACTCATCTCATTGCTAAATCACAAAAACCTGCAAAGAAAAAGAAAAACAATCAAAATATTGAGCAAAACAAGGATTTCAAAAACTGGTTACTCTGTTCAATCATTATCACTTTAATCAACTAACAATGCCTTCTGCTGATGTTATCACACTTTCTGTTTGACAGAAAGTTATTGCTATGATAGTCACTTTGGGCTTAATTTCAGACAATAGTAATTACTTTCTTATAAAGTTTTACAGGATGTTTAATGTGGAAAATAAAGATCTGAAAAGTTAAGTAGATTCATTCCTTATTTTGTAAGCACAAACAAACATTGTAAGTTTGCTTGTGGCAGACTGTCATTTTAGCATTTTAGAATATAAGAAATTTGTGTGACTTGCTTTTGGGTAGGTCACTAATTCACAATGCCTAAGTTTTAAAATGCATTTTTAAAAATGAAACATCTTTCTTGAAGCTTTTATTTAATTTCAATAGATTAAATTTAACATTTCCTAAAAGCAAAATACATTGTTGTATTTCAAAACAATTTAAATTGACTGGAAGGAGTTTGTTTTTGTGCCAAAAATAAATGATTAGCATCCTTTTTTAGTAATTTTTCATTACACTGTAATTCTCTTTATTACAAATCTTCCAAAAATAAAATATACTTTCTGAAACTGAGGAATATTTGCTGATTTAAAGTATAATTAATCTGATTTGAAACAATTATTATTTACTTTAAGTTTAAAATATTGCAGAAATGTATTTTTTAATCAGTAGCTATTTATGTAAGGTGTGAGCAAGTTTGACAGATTGATATTTATTTGATGTTCTATGCAGGTTTTAGCTGTAAAGAATAATTGAATATAACGTGAGTGCCTTTTATATCAAATTATCAATTAATTTAAAATGATACTTTTATTTTTTACAAATTGTTTACAAGGCTCAAGAACAACTGAAGATAGAAGATTACTGAATGAAGCTGTAGTATGGATGCAAGAAGAAATTAACAACTGCAGTTTATTGGATATGTAAGAAAGATAACAGTTAACTCTAGATAAGATGCCAGGTCAGGACCAATAACATTGCATATTCTTTGGATTTTATAAAGAATCTCTAAATAGTGAGTAGAAGTACCAGACCAAATGTGACAGCAATATTCAATAAACAGATGAATGATAGACATACAAATGTGTATGAGATTCTGGCTAGAAAACTTGTCTAGCACAACACAATGAAACAAATTTCCTAGCAGCAGACTTAGCAACTGTTCCAATATAATATTTCCACTTCATATTAGCAAAAAAATGTTAGCCCAAGCAGGCACAAGGAGCTACTTTCCTGGAGGTTAGCATCAGCCTTGCTGATGGAAGGCAAAAAAGATGATTAAAAGAAAGAAGTTTCATTTTGGCATGTTAAGATTAACAAGCTATTCCTTGCCCCAGTCAATAGCAAATTGTACATCATTTTTGAGATTATCTGCCAATTTGACCATATTGAATCGATTAGACTATTGTTTTTTTTGTTTTGTTTTTTTTTTACAATGATGGTCACTCTTTAAAATCCTAGACTTGAAAAGGTTCAGATTGTGGTGATCAGTGAAGCATCGTCTCATTAAACTGTTTCATAAAGTACAAGAACTTCCTTCATCCTAATAGCACACTCTCCCAACTGAGACAAAACTGGTATTACATAGCTCTCCCAGTCTCAGACCCACACTAACTATTGGCTAATACCTGCTCAGTATCATTCATATACAAATAGTTCCACCTACTGTAAGTAGGTCTTCTCTCAACAAACCATTGTGGAAGAGGATATAACTCTTCATGCTTACAGCACCACACGCAACCAACTCCAAGTTTTATCGGGTTGATTTTGTTACATACCATTGAGTCATTTATAACAGCAGTAGAGGTAAAAGTCAGAAAAAGCATTAGTAAATTAAAAAAAAAAAAAAAAAAAAAAAAAAAAAAAACTGTCTTCATTTCAATATTAAATATTCAGAACAATTTTAATGTTTCTCATGATTCATTAAGACAACAAACTTAATAACTTTGTATTAATATAGAGTGAAAAACACTCATACAAAACTGTCAAGTAACTCATTAACAAATAAATAATGAATCAAATTTTTTTATACTTGAATAAATAAGGCAATCTACCAAAATTAACAATTCAGTTTAGGGATATTTCCAGTTTCATATATTGCATATCAGTGTCTATAACAATAAAAACTAATTACCTGATAATATTTTTAACACATGATCACATTCTATTTCTGCATTTTTTTTTCCTTTAATCATGTAGGGATTGCACTCCAAATAAAATCAACCAGAAAGTTAGAATTGCTATATGTACAATGAGTTTCTTCCACTAAATTACAAAATTCTAAAAGTGCCTTTTCTTAAAATAGGCATCAAGAATAGAGTTCTACAACCCAGTTAATAGTGTCAGCACAACAAAAACCAAAATCAGTTAAAATAGAAAGTACAACATTTGGAAAGAAAATAATTTTCAATTTGATATAACCATGAGTCTTATTACTTGGCTGCATTATGGCAAAAATTAATCAAGACAATATATGATGAACTATTCTATACACATGGTTAGAAACAAAGTCAGAAAAGAATTGCCTACTAAAACATTTTAAGTTTATCCAAGTATTAACAGAATAAACATTAGTAGCAAAACTTCTTCAGACATCTTCCCATGTCAATTTTTTTTCATTTTTTGCTGAGGGGAGAGGGGTGGAAGTATCTTATCAAAATATCCAAGACATTTCTAATAGTAATGATTTCCTAGCAACCAAATACATTTATTCAGGTTTCACTATCAATACTCCACTTACCCATATTTGCTTTACATAGAAACAAATTGTTGCTGGCTTATATAAACGAACATTAAATAACATTTTGCTAGAATTTATTTTCTTAGAAAATTGAAAAGAAAAACAAATGAAAAAGTTTTTTTATTACCTTTTAATGGGGTAATTATCCCACATCAAAGATAAACAGACTAAATTCCCAAAGAAAATATCACACTTAATATATATTAACCTATATATTAAAGTGAAAAGTTATACTAAGAGTTTAAGACATGGCTCAGTTAGCATTTAACATTTTCTCACTTAATGCACCAGTCTCAGGTAATAATTCAGTCAATTCCATTGAGTTTTTTATAGAAAGAAAAAAAAAACTCAAAATTCAAATATCAGTTTTCTCTCCTATTCACTAATCTCTTGAGAACTTATAACATGAGATTAGGTATAATGATAACCAAGTTGAGTAAAGCAAAAAATTCAAAAATAACTGTATAAAATTTTTTTTTGATACCCTGGACACAGATACTACATTGAACACATGCAAAAGCATTGATCCATACTGAAATGACTTTTTGACAAATACAATGATGGTTTTGTAATAAATACAACTCCAGTCAATTTTCAATGGATATCTTTATATTAGAAACCAGCTGACACAAATAACATCCTGAAAAGATTAAAGGCAACCAATCAAAACCTCTAACAAAAATGTTTCCATCAAGTTAAAAATTATGGCATGATCTTTCTAATTATAGCTGCCCTAATAAATTAGCTTGCCATTTTATCTGGATTCAGAATGATAGCAAGTCTATCTATATTTACAAGGAATTAACTTCTAATAAACTGACATGAATTCTACAATATTTTCACTTTCCAAGCTATAATTATCTAAAAGTAACAGATCTTTGCTTAAATACAGACTAATAAAAATACTAACTTGTTTATTAAAATGAAACGGGACATTATTTGCATGCTTTAAAAATGTAGTATTCCTTATTATAATTTAACACAATATACATTTTAGAATTTTCATCAGAACTTTTGCCAATGTCAATATCTACATGTTGAGCAAGAGCGTCTCAACACAGTATAATAGTTAACAAGCTAGTGTTGTGGATCATTATGACAGAGTTTGATTTTCATAATTAGGGCTAACTTATGCTAAATAAATCATTATATATTTTTCAAGTACATTGAAAGTTTAATAAAACAAGTTATTACACTATGTAATAAGCCTTTATGTCCAGAATTATTAAAGAAAGTACAATTACTTTGAAAAGGAAACATCTGTTTTAAGCATTCATCTTTTATATTATTTCTCAGAACTGAAAGAGCATGTGTTAATATATTAATCAGGTTTACACACAGTGAAAGGGCTCCATGTCCTTTCACCAATAGACAAGAAAGTTATTTCCAGGTGTGGATTTTGTCTACCAATTCTTCTATGTACAATGTCCCTTCAGGATGAAGGCAAACATAACTCTCCACAAATTGTCTTTTCATCTTTCCTAAACTTTACTCCTCTGTCCCTCTTGCCTCCAATCTGTATCAAATTTTCCAAGCCCCTTTTTCCTCATGTGCCCTAGAAATTTCAACTGTCTCTTCCTGATAAGTAAGTGCTCTTTCCATTTTCTCTAAAACTTTGCCATTGGTTATATGTTCAGTCCATGGTAGTCTCAGCATCCTGTTGTAGAACTACAATCATTTGAAGTCTTCTTCATCTGTGAGGAGATTGCCCAGCATTTACTATAAGAGAATTTATATTGCATAACAGTTCAGCACTCTTACAGGATATCCCTCACAAGTAGCAAGCAGCCAATTGTCAATGTAACAGAATAAAATAAAAATAAAAATAAAATTAAAATAAAAAGAAATAAAATAAATAAAAAAATAAAAAAAATAAAATAAAAAAAAAAAAAACTTATGGTGAAATCATATATGTATCTGAAGATGCATGAGTGAAGGAGGGAATGGATGTGATATTTTACTTATACACTTGAAACCCAGAGGAAAAAAAAAACAGTTCATACACTTACACAGAAACACTTTAAACATAGTTAACTTAAACTGAAGAATCAATGCAATAGGTTGACTTGAGAGTAATCATTTTTATAAGCTTTTATTATTGATTCACTCACCAGATTTTATCTAAATACAAATACTAATGCTTTTAAATGTTTTTTGTTCTTAAAAAAAAAAAAAAAAAAGGTCTACACTGCATAAAATATT